ACAAATCGCTTCTTCTCAGTTTCTCCAACATAGACACTGAAGTGCCCCTTGGGCACATCTTTAGCCATTGGAGTTGAGAGAACTCGTCGGATGGCTTGCTTAGCATGAAAAATTCCCGGCAAGCGGATCCCCATGATTTTTGTGAACTGTTTTTCTTGGAAAAGTAATAGCAAGGATAGAGTTGATCTCTAGGAGAGGTGCAAAACAAGAGAAGCTTTGATGGTGGGTTGGTTAATGTTCGAATAGGTAGGTATATATAGAGCACTTTGCATATGGCAGCATTCTCAGTTGGAGTGATTAATGAAGACATGACTGCAATGAGGTCCATTGGAGGACATACCAATGAGGTATGGCGTGTGTATCACATGGTTATGCCTCCCAAAAAAAAGATTTTAGAATCTGATAGATTTTGTGCTGTAATGCATCTTCAAGATTTTTCATGGCCTACCACCTTAGAAGTGCAAACAAAGGAGCTAGGTCTACTCAAAATACTCGTCTATGATTGTTTTCTGATGATTATAACAGTATAACATATATCCAGCAAAGCATTTGGCTTGAAGACTAAAAAGTAGTATCTAACACACAGAATGCATCTTGCACATGCATTGTAAGTTGCTCCCTTACACATTTGTTTAGGCTTGTGGTCAAATAGACACAAAGGTCACCAGAACTGCCTGTGTCATGACACGAACATGGGGAAGGACAAATTAATTAGATGTTTTTTTTCCGATAAATTTCTTGACACTGAAAGTGAGATTTGGTGATTATATGAACTTGGCCTAATATGCAAGCATCATAGGTTGACTAGAAACAGTGTAACAACCAGTCATATGATGTTCTATAATGCTGATAATATGATCCAAATTGACCAGAATACAAGACCAGTAAGCCATACATTGGAGAATGATTTTTACTGTGTAATTACAGATCAACTATCTCATCATTTCTCGAAAAGGATCTCAATGAGCATTGACTTCACACCATTGAATTGCTTGACCAACCTCATCATGCTCTCCAAGGTCACATTACCCATCTCAGAGTGCAGTAACCTTAAGGAAGCCTAAATGATTAGTATTGATAAAGTGGCTGCATTCTAGCTTAGTTGGTATGCAGCACTATGCACTTATTAATTCTCCCAAAGGACCCCTTGATGTGTTCTTCCACCACTCAGATTCAGTCGCTAATATATTCAAAAGTTTTCAGGTATCAAAATGTTACAGACACACAAAGAGCTCTTTTGATCACTGACTTTTTAGGTACCATTTTGAAAGCATAACAGTCTTATAAAAATTATGGTACATACTTGATCACAAAAGGTCATTGTACCTTTTTTTTCTTTTTTTTTCCTAAGCATCATTTTATTAACAACCAACCAAAGATACGTAGAACAGGGAATTAAGAAATCCTATTCCCGAAAAAATTGCTAGTTACACTAAAAGATAAGAAAAGCCAGCAAAAGAACAAGCAAACCAACCCTTTAGAAAGAAAAAAACCACAGAGTAGATCTTCATACACAATAAAACCATCATAATCCCTACAATCAGCATGTGAACATTCCCACCAGATCATGTAAATGCACATCCAATGTATCAGCCACATTCCAAATGACATGTCTTGCAACTTGGGAATACATGTCATTGTAAGACATTAATTCCAAATGACTTGTCTTGCAATGAAATATCTTACAACCAAAATGTTCATTGTACCTTTATCAAAATGCACCTCATAAATCACATTCAATCAACATCTTGTGCAGTTCTGAAGTCATATTTCAGATAGAAACATATCCTAGTTTTTCCTGAGAAATATCTTCATACGTAAAGAATCCACCAAACTTTATACCATTTAGTAAAAAGTTATAGCAAGCGTAAGAATCATGGATGGTGATATTTTCTGTTCTGAAGACCATCATTTTGTGAAGCAACTCTATTGTCTGCCTTAAACTTTCAAGTGGTCTAGATACCTTGTTGGACCATTTGTATTGCAAGCTTTTGTCTGAACAATTTGCATTCATAAATCAGAAAAAATTATTACATGAAGAAAATGCAGTAGAAGCACAAAACTCTTCCATGTGACGAATATATTAAAACAAGTAAATTGGTTGTGGCTAGACTCAGCTACCTAACGTGACAAGTATCAAAAGACCAAGTCAAGAGGTTGCTAAAATCCTAATTGAGCCGACCTGAGTTGAACAAGCAATATGCAGATGAGCCCTTAAATTTTGTTTAAATTGTTGGTAGTTTTGGAACCTTGGGTCATCATAATGACCCACTGAGGTTGGCTGGTAAGTTGGCACAAAGGATACTATAGACTAGGACTAGTCTAAGTTCATTGCTTCTGTAATCAATGAATATGATTCTTAATTTCATTTTGTATTGAGAAGGGTCTTTGTTGTCAAGAAAATGCCAAACATCAAAAAGTCTAGTGCTTTATTAGTTAAAGCAATGTGATATCCATATATAACTTCTCAAGTTGCATCTCTCTTTGTCAGTTCTCTAAAGTAGTAGGGCAGTATGTCCTAGACTGGATAAGGCAAACCATGTGATCCTAATATAGTTTCTGAAGCAGTCATGTTTCTCAATTCTATCTAATTCTTTTTAGTACTTACTGTTCTTTCATTTTCAGAGGACCAAGTGTCTCTATATATACTTGGTTATTATTTACATCCCATTTCAACCAAGTCTTCCTTTCCATAATATTGTATAGCTTCCCTTCATTTGAACAACCTTTTAAGGTCTGTTAACATCTCTTCTAAAGATGGGCATCCGATTGATGGCGATAGCTCAAGCCAAACAAAAGCTCCAACGCACTCTTTCACCAAGAAGTGGAACAGTTTCTGCCACTAGTGATGTTCCAAAAGGCCATTTCGCAGTTTATGTTGGAGAATCTCATAAGCGGTTTGTCATTCCAATATCTTACTTGAACCATCCTTTATTCCGAAACTTGCTACATCAGGCTGAAGAAGAATTTGGATTTGACCATCCGATGGGAGGTCTGACAATTCCATGCAGTGAAGACTACTTCATTAGTCTCAGTTCTCTATTAAACTCTTCATAAATGACAGAGACCGTACTCTTGCCTTTTGATTGTTCCTCTGTGTGTATGTCATTGGTGATTTTTTTGCCTTCCAATTCAACGACGACATAATTTGAGACAGTCAAGCCAGTCTCTTCAATTTTGTACGTAACATGGGTTACTATCAAATCCAACCCAGATTATGTTTCACAATATCCCATTTGTAAATAAAATTTTCAATGTAAAGTTTCCTACTTTATGACCTAAATTTGAGCTGTATTACTGAATTTAGTATGAATTGTGTATAAATGTCCTCTGGAGATAATCATTGTTGCTCTTGGACATTGATGGTAGAGAAGTCAGGTAGATAAAGCTCAGAAAGCTTGAGAAAAAAAGAGATAATTATAGCAAAGCTAAACTTGAAATAATTTCCAAACTTCAACCATGTTATCATCAAAAGCAAGTTCCTTGCATGAAGTCTCATCAGAACTCATAAATACTTATCAATAAAAAATTTGGTTGAAAAGAGTGAATGCTTTTGGGGAATATAGACAAAGTTGCCCAAAAATCAGTAAGAGCTTGAACATATGGGTCACAGCCAAGAAAGGTACCGTACAATACTACTATCTACTAGTTATTGCTAGAGGTCTTTTCACTAAACTAACAATTCAATGGTTCCATGAATTAGATTTAAGGTACCTGTAAATTTACTGAAGATCAAGGCCTGTTATATGGGACAGAGCCATTGATGAGTCAGTAAGATGGTGACTATTAGGCCATTTCCGGTTACTCCTGGTTTGAACATCTTTTGTAGACCCTGGTTGGACTTAAGTGGATTCAGTGATAGATGTTGATTGCTTAGGTTTAAATCTTATAATGATGTTAATCAGATAAAAAGCTTGAACAAGCATACAAATTTATGTAACTGTGAAGTCCAATGCCAGGTCTTGTACATAGATTTTGTCTCATTGTAGTCCTTGGTAGGCTACAGACATTGTTTCAAGAACATGATAAGTCCCTACATTGAAATCCTCTATTCTATCGGCTCATTAAATACAGCTTTTAGGTGTCTAGTATTAGTTGCGGTCTTACAGATTACTGTTTTTCTGATATATACGTCGTAATGCCAATGTTAGAGATAGAAGTACTATACTGGGACAACTAATGCATGAAAAGGCCATCCTATTTTCAAAAAAACATGGAATGCCAACCAAAAAAGCCGAAGGAAATCGACCAATCCCAATTTAGAATGATTGGCATTGTTTTTAGTCAACTTTAAATCTTCTATAACATGGTTCAGTATTTGTGAGAGCAAAAGTATTGGACCAATTCAAAGTTTCACTGTTTGATATCAAATGAGGAGCTCATGATGGACAATGAAGGCTGTAGCTATTCGGTGCATTGATAGAAGTCAATACCATCCCAACACTGTCATCCTTATCAGGGTCTGCAATTTTCATGCTCTAGTCAGCAACTTTGGCTAGCTAATGAATGAGGGCATGTTCACACACGCACATACACACAGAGAGTCATTACAGTTGAGTGAACAAAAGGCTATTTGGCATGTGCAATAATGCTTTTTGGATATAACAACATATATAAATATCATCACGAGAAGAGCAGCAGGATAAATTAAACAATTTGCAGCCTGAAGGTTTACTTAGTTGTCTGCTCAAAACCATGGGCAGTCATTAGTAATTTCACATGAATCCCTCTAACAAGTTGGAGAGTGTGATGAGATCTGCCATGAATTCAAGTAGTGGCCTAGCTAAGTGTCTGTTTGGGTGTAAGTTGGTCCCACCTTATAGGGTAGGTACCAAATTATTGTACATGTCCATGTTGCTCAGCACAAAACAAGCCCATACACTCCACCACACTCTATATAAGCACACATACTTGAACCACCAGCTTCATCACTTTTGCACCAGCATTATAAGTAAAAAAAGCTTATACTCTCTACTAGGTAAAAAAAAAAAAAAAAGCTAATGGGGATTCGTTTGGCAGCAATCGTTCACCAAGCCAAGCAAATTCTTCGACCAATGTCTATAAACAACCGCCAGTCCTCGTCTCCTGATGTCCCGAAGGGCCACTTTGCAGTGTATGTTGGAGAGAGCCAGAAGAACCGATTCGTGGTTCCAATATCCTACTTGAGGCACCCTATGTTTCAAGACCTTTTGAGGAAGGCCGAGGAAGAATATGGATACGATACTCCAATGGGTGGTCTTATAATCCCTTGCAGCAAGGCCACCTTCTTAAGTGTCACTTCTCATTTGAGTGACCATTGATGAAAGCGCAACTACATAAGTTGTTTCCATATATTTCTTAGCTAGAGCTAGAATCAAATCCTCAACCAATTTTGTATCATCCTGTAAATATCGATCTCATTAGTTTCAAAATAAAATAGTCATTATTTGCTAATTATTTTCTCCTAGCTTCTGCTAATAGGCAACATTGCACAGATTACCTTGAAAAAAAAAAAAAAAAACACTCACATGATGGTTTGTGTCTGATACATGTAACCGCTAACGAATCAAGATTACAGAGCTGATAAATTCATAAACTAAATAAATGGTAATGACAGTACAATCAAGAAGCCTTTGTATATATATGTGTGCGTGTTGAAATTAATGTGCAGTGTGAACACTACTTTGTAAAAGCAATAAAGATGAACAGAAAATTGTTCCATAACCTACTCAATTACTGCATTTTATTGTATTGAGGTAGCAACATGATCTTTTATTTGTAGCTCCAATGTAGTAAGTGATATTTTTGGCACAACCTGTTCCAACTTCCAAGCCCAGTGGATAGGACACAAATCTTTTTTTTCTGACACAGACATTATGAAGTTCACATTTCTGGTCAAATAAAGGATGCTGGCCTCGTTTAGAAATTTGAACCTTATAGCTCTTCTATTGCTCTTCTATTTACGGTCTGCTCTGTACTAGGACCACATAATCGTTCATAGTTTTCAAAACGCCCCTGTACGAATAGGATGATACCATTAAAATTAACCACTCAATTTAAGGTTTAGTACTAGTCATAGACTTACCAAAAGTAGATTAAAAAAAAATTAAAAATAAAAATAAAAAACGACCAATTAAGTGTATGCATGTTATAAGATGGAAAAGAAAGGAATGTTGATAATATTTGGGATCTAGAGAAAAGAGTCACTGGGGCCATTGACGTCAAGAGCATGTGGAGGAGTTGTGAGGTGTGTGAAAAACAGGGGGCGAATGACAAAATTATAGCTGCCAGATGGGGCCTTCAATCCAAATTGGGGCGGGTCTGGTTGGTCACAAATACAATCCTTGAACTAATAATACTGCAAGGACAAGGTACATGCCTTATGCAAGTTTAGGACCCACCGCATGAACAATAGGTACCCGTCTCGCTTTTTTTTTTTTTAAATATCCATTTTGAAAACTGGTTTTTACTCCGTTTTTAAAAAAATATTTTTTTTGAAAACTGTGACTTAATAGTACTCTCTCTTATCCAAAAAAAAAATGTCATATTTGGGGACTGTGATTCAGTCACGGTTCCCCAAACAGGACATCTAATTTAGAACGAAGGTACTAGGTAGTATTATTTAGATAAGTAATTATTCATATTTTTTGTTTGTTTAATAAATGATAAGTGGAATGATCTTTTTTAAGATGTGCTCTAATTACATAATTTTTATTTATTGCAATCATCGACAAAATCACATAAAGCGAGAACGAATTCGAGAGTAACATAATTAAGTCATAAACAGTGAGAATTTAAGCGAAAGCAAATTCGAGAGCTGGAGCGAATTCGAGAACGGCATAATGAAGTTATAAGTAGTGAGAATTTGAGCGAAAGCGCGCGTGTAGTATAAAAGCAGGAACGCGCTCAGAGCGTGAAAGTGACACCTGTTGAGAAGGATTATGTGACAGATGGAGCTTTTAATGGGTTAACCTGAGCAATAGCCCAGGTTCAATTTTTTTTAAAAAAAATAGTTCTGCTATTCTTATCAACTCAGTTCATATGTAATTAATTTTTAGTATTATTATTTCTCTTCCTCTTCCTATCGGCAGAATCCATAATACAACTCAGCCCAATCTATAGTACTACTCTTCCTCTTCCTATCAGCCCAATCAAAATGTGATATGTAATCAATTTTTAATACTCTTCAGCCAATGCCTCTCAACACGTGGTGGTATTTTTTCTCATAAGGTTTGGCCTGTTTGGGGTCTAGTATGGAAATTACAGAGACTTGAGAAGAGGTCCAATTTATCATATTTTTGAACAAATATAGATAAAAAAAAAAAATCAATGAATAGAATAGGTAGAATGAGAAGAATCTCTCTGAATCCAATATCCTACTTGAGGCACCCTATGTTTCAAGACCTTTTGAGGAAGGCCGAGGAAGAATATGGATACGATACTCCAATGGGTGGTCTTATAATCCCTTGCAGCAAGGCCACCTTCTTAAGCGTCACTTCTCATTTGAGTGACCGTTCAAGAAAGTGCAACTACATAAGTTGTTTCCATATATTTCTTAGCTAGAGCTAGAATCAAATCCTCAACCAATTTTGTATCATCCTGTAAATATCGATCTCATCAGTTTCAAAATAAAATAGTCATTATTTGCTAATTATTTTCTTCTAGCTTCTGCTAATAGGCAACATTGCACAGATTACCTGAAAGAAAAAAAACTCACATGATGGTTTGTTTCTGATATATGTAACCGCTAACGAATCAAGATTACAGAGCTGATAAATTCATAAACTAAACAAATGGTAATGACAGTACAATCAAGAAGCCTTTGTATATATTTGTGTGTGTGTTGAAATTAATGTGCCGTGTGAACACTACTTTGTAAAAGCAATAAAGATGAACAGAAAATTGTTCCCATAACCAACTCAATTACTTATTTATCTAATTATTTTGAGTTTTTTTACTAAAAGTAAATCTAATTAGACAAGAATTATTAAAATAAAAAATATTTATTAATTGATATAAAAAGAATTTTTAAAAGAGTTTATATTAAACTATAACACAAATTACCTATTTATTTATTTATTACAAGTTTTTTAATAAAAGAAAATTTAATTTACCTAATAAAACAAATTACATTCTATATAAAACTCTTATTTTTAGTTTTTTTTATGGATAATTATAGTTTTTATAAAAATCTAAAAATCACCTAATAAAATCAATCATATTCTATATAAAAACTCTTATTTTTAGTTATTTTTATGGATAATTATCACAGTATAACAGGCTAGCCCAGTTATGATTATGTCATTATCAGAAAATGACACATGTCATTATCTTATTTATCCAAGAAGCCTATAAATAGAGAGGAAAGAGGAAGGGGTACAGATATTGAGAATTCTATAAATCTAGAATTCCTGAGTAAAATATAGAAGTTTTGCTAAAGAGTTTCAGTATTTATTTATTTATATAAAAAAATATTTATTAATTGATATAAAAAGAGTTGAATTCCAGAAGCTCTGTCAAAGAGTTTGAGTATTTCAATATTTATTTATTTATATAAAAAATATTTATTAATTGATATAAAAAGAGTTTTTATCCATACTATTATTAGATGTGTAAAGAGTTTCAGTATTTATTTATTTATATAAAAAAATATTTATTAAATAATATGATAAAACACTAAAATGTACATAATAAAATTTAAATTAACCTATTTATCTATTCATTATTATCAATTTTTTTAATAAAATAAAAGAAAATAATTTTTATATAACTCTACTATGAGTTCCTTAATAAAATTAAATCTAATTAGACAAGTATATATTTAAAAAAAATAAAATAATTTCTATAAAACTCTATTACAAATTACCTATTTTATTTTCCATAAAACTCTATCAACAGAGTTTCTATAAAACTCTAACACAAATTACCTGTTTATCTATTTATCATGAGTTTTCTAATAAAAAAAACCTAATTAAATAAGTATTATTAATATAAAAATTATTTATTAACTGATACAAAAAGAGGTTTTAAAAGAGTTTTTAAAAAACTCTAACACAAATTACCTATTTATCTATTTATTATTAGTTTTTTAATGAAACTAAATGTAATTAGACAACAATTATTAAAATAAAAAATATTTATTAATTAATATAAAAAGAGTTTTTAAAAGAGATTATATTAAACTCTAACACAAATTACCTATTTATTTATTATAATTTTTTAGTAAAAGAAAATCTAATTAGACAACAATTATTAATATAAAAAATATTTTTAATTGATATAAAAAATAAAATAATTTTTCTAAAATTCTACCACAAATTATCTTTTATTATGAGTTTTTTTTTTAATAAAAGCTAATCTCATTAGATAGGAATTACTAAAATATAAAAATATTTATTAATTCATGTAAAAAGAGTTTAAAAATAATTTCTATAATACTCTGATACGTATTACAAATTGTAATTTTTTAATAAAAGAAAATCTAATTTTTAGAGTAAAATACAGAAGTTCTACCAAAGTGTTTCAATATTTATTTAATTATATAAAAAAATATTTATTAATTAATATAAAAAAGATTTTATCTATACAACTATTAAATGTGCAAAGAGTTTCAATATTTAAATATCTATTTATAAAAAAATATATTTATTAATTGATATCAAAAGTATTTTTTATTTTTTTTAAAAAAAAACTCTATCAAACACCAAAATCTATCTAATAAAATTTAAATTAACCTATTTATTATTATGAATTTTTTAATAAAAGAAAATTGAATTAGACAAGAATTATTAATATAAAAAATATTTATTAATTGATATATAAAATAAAATAATTTTTCTAAAACTCTACTACAAATTAGCTTTTATTATGAGTTTCTTAATAAAATTAAATTTAATTAGACAATGATATATTTAAAGAAAATATAATATTAAATGTGCAAAGAGTTTCAGTATTTCAGTATTTATTTATTTATATAAAAAATATTTATTAATTGATATGAAAAGAGTTTTTATAAAAAATAAATAAATTAATTAAATAAAAAAAACTCTATAAAACTCTAAAATCTACCTAATAAAATTCAAATTAACCTATTTATCTATTTATTATTATGAATTTTTTAATAAAAGTAAATCTAAAGTTTCAGTATTTATTTATTTATTTAAAAAATATTTATTAAATGTGGAAAGTGTTTCAGTATTTCAGTATTTATTTATTTATATAAAAAAATAATTATTAATTGATATGAAAAGAGTTTTTATAGAAAAAAAACTTCTATAAAACTCTAAAGTCTACCTAATAAAATTCAAATTAACCTATTTAT